CCCGGCCAGCGCAGGAGGCTGCCTGCTTGCACCCGCCTGCTCTCACACGGCTGCCGGCACACGTACGCTCTTACAAAACTGTCAGCTTGCACGGAGGGGCGCTCTCACATGCTTTCCCACAGCTTCTTGCACACGTATGCTCACACGCTTGCTGCACACGTGTCTGTGCAGCTGTCTGCTTGCACATGCCTGCACTCAGCTAATGCAGTGCCCTCACTGGGCTGCTTGCACACATGCTCTCAGCCAGGTGCTTGCACACATGCTCTCTGCCACGTGCATTTGCAGCTGCTCATGGGAGCTGAGGCTTCGGCCACCCCCGCACCATCCCCTGGGGCCTAGAGCGCTCGTGGCCCTGCGCTGCGACTCCATTTTGGCTTCCCGTGGCTGCTGCTGCTTCTCTGTGGCACCTCTGCAGCCTGAGCCTGGCCGGGACGGGGCGGACTAGATGTGACCTCTGCAGGGCCCCTCCAGCCTGACTTCCCTAGGATTCAGGCAGTCTGTGTACCTCAGCTCGCAGGTGCCCTCCTGTTAGTTCAGCTCATGGGTCCGGGTGTAGCAATTGCAGCTAGCCCTTAAAGAGTGTGGGACTGTGACTAAGACCCTCATTTCCTCGTGTGGAAAAAACCTCTTGTCCGTTATTGAAAATGCCCCAGGTTTTGTCAGTCAGTTTTTTTCTCCTTGTATCTTAAACCTTTTCTAAAGGTGCTGTGCTGTGCGGGATGTGACACGTACAAAGTACAGAATGATGTGGCATTGTGTAAAGGGTCACCTGGCATGAGACACGTGGCATTCCCAAACACCAGTCATGTTCATAGGTAAAGGTGTGTGCGAGTGTGTAGATGTACTGGAAGGAACATCAGTAATGACCTCTGTATCCATGTTGTCTAACGCTGCCTAGTGCGAGCCTCTCCTTGGAATCGCATATCACTCGCTCACAAAGGGCCCTCTGAAATGTTGTATGCTGGGGTTGGCCTGAAGCTGAATTTTGCTGGGAAATGTCTACAGATGTGGTGCACCTGTTCAAAATAGACTGGCTTGTGTCCATTTTCCTGTTTTTTTCTGAAAGAGCTGCATGGGTTGAGAGAGGGGGTTTGAGTTTTGTTAGGATTCTGCATCCAAAAAGGTGCTTTTTTTGGTTTCCTTTGAAAACCTAGCATGGTGGCAAAAGTTATGAGCAGGGATCATGGTTTTCTCTGTTTAAAAATTTCAAATTCTCTGATAAAACACAAATTCTCTGATGAAAAACTTTAAATCTGTGTTTTTCCGCAATGAAAATGAAATGTCGCTATATATATAGATATCAGTTGAACACAATGTTTTATTGATATATTTACAATTGTAAAGCAATTTGGAAGCCTACCAGGGCCTCAATCGCTATAATAAAAGATGTTCTTAATACTTATAAATTTTGGTATTTGATTTTGGGTTTTTTTATCATGGAAAATCAGAGCTTCTCCTGCCCCCTTCACTCACCAGGACGTGGGTCCAGCTGGAGCTGTCCCCACCCGCTACTGCTTTGTGGCACTGAGCAGCCCTGATATGCTGATGCCTTGCCTATGCCATTGCCCCTCACTCCCAATCCACAGCCCCCAGCCCTGCCAGTGCCTCTCACTTCCCACCCACAGCCCCCGAGCCCTGCTGTGAGCCACAAAATATAGTTCCTCAGCCTTGTGTGGGTGGGCAGGTCTCCTGGATGCATGAGGGTTCCAGTTTGTGATGCTGGTGGTCTCTAGTCTGATTTCACTGTGTTGAAGATTGTGTTTTCCTGTAAATGACTGACATAGCAACCCAAATGGCACACTTCAAAACTTGCATTGTGCACAATGGAGCATTTAATTTCTTAAGTTGTTCCCAGCAGAACAGAAGCAATGATCGGTACATGTAATGCTGAATCCTTCTTCAGTAGTTCTGATGAAAGCGATGCGACACAAATAAAGTATCAATCTGTGCCAGGTGTGGCATTCTTAGCTTTGTTTTTCAGCTTTCCTATGCCTGCTTGGCAAATTTGTGAAAGGAGAATCCTATTCTGAGACCCACAATGAGCAGTCATTTCCTTCTGAAATAACCTGTACTTTTTGTAAGCATCCTCAGAATCACACATCACATGCATGCCCCTGAGGCAAAGCTTTATTAAGACTCAAACCACAGAATAAATAATTAAAAGAGAAGTATTTTAGAAGTAATTGATTGTCAGTCAAAATGAAGATAGCTGGTTTGGAAACTGAATACAGCAGTCTCCTGCAATATCTGTGGCTTCTCCTCCAGTGACTTGTCTGGAAAATGTTTGGGCATAAGGTGTTATTAATTCTATGATACCACTAGAAATGCATCTGCATACTGCTACGTGGACAGGAGAGAAAGTGAACTGTGTGCTGTAGCTGGACATGTATAGGAGACAGTTAGAGTCTAAGACACCTTCCAAAAAAACAAGGCCTCTTTTCCTACCATTTTCTTGCCATCTGGGATGTGCATGCAGTTTTCAATATAAGATTACTTTCCCCCCAAGGCTGCTTTGCTTCATGTTGGTCTGCTTTCACATGGAATAGGTTTGAAGCCGATTTCAACATTTTCCATCAAGACCAGGTCGTATCTGCACAGTGCGGGCCTGCAAAAAGAGAACACAAGATCCTATGAGCCATCTATATAAGGCCTCAACTATGCGGTAAGATCATACAGCATATTAGGGATTTGTGTAGCATTAGTTTGTTATAGCAAGTTTAGAAGAAAGGAAAACAGCCCTGGGTTGGGTTCCAGTGTTGTGGGTCACAGGAAGATTTAAACTAGATGTTTTGGGTGGGGTTCTGCAAGAATGAAAGCCCCTCTGCCCTGATTTTACAAGGAAGTGATAGCAGCATACTAACACTTATTTTTGTTGAATTAAGTCTCAGGGAAGGAAAACTCTAAAGAGTTCTCTCACAGGTAGCAGGGGATAATGATGAAGGGTCTCTGGACTAATGGTAAACAAGGTATATCAAAGGACTGCCCAGAAGCTGGAAAAACAGATCAAAAGAGATAATGGATATCTGAGACAAACAGGCTAGGGAGTCACAAGTAACAAAGGTGGACAGAAGGGACCTGGCTTGCTGGAAATTCAGATTCATAAAAGAGTGCCAGATTTGACTGAAATTACAAGAAAAATGGATGGTGTGAATTATTCCTTTTATTTTACTACCATTTTCTCTCTGTTGCACATTCACCTTATTTTCAATAAGACTGGGTGAGTCAAGGCCTTTTCCCTCAGTAATTTTGCACAGAGAAGAAATCCTTTCAGGCGCTAAAGAGAGGAGGGCAAAGAACATGTGGAACATGCAGCTCAGAAGTCAAGATTGACTCAAGCAGTGTTGTCCCCTAACAGTGGTTCTCAAACTTTTTTGCACCAAGACCCATTTGTAAACACCAATGGCCAGTCCCAACCCGGTGCCTCTCACTCCCGACCCACTGCCCCCTTCCCCCAGGCCCTGCCCCCCCAGTGTGTGGGGCTGGGGGTATGTGTAGGGCATGGGTGACCCCAAGCAGCCCCATGCAGGCTGGAGCTCTGCCAGCCAGCTAGGGAAAAGCCAGAGTTTCCCACATTTTTCTCTTTTAAAAGAGAATCCATTTTTCAAGTTTGATCCATTTTTTAAGTGTGTCCCTCCAGAGGTGGTGCAATCACCTATCCTAGAAATCTTCAAGAGGAGATTAGACAGTCATCTTGCTGGGGTCACCTGACCCCCAGTTATCTTTCCTGCTTGGTGCAGGGGACTGGACCTGATGATCTTCTGAGGTCCCTTCTGGCCTCACAATCTATGAATCAATCTATCAGTCTATGAATCATGACCCTTTCATATATTCTTGCAGCACACTGTTGAGTCACGACCCATGGGTTGAGAAACGCTACCCCAGAACGTGTGGCACAGGGGACTGGCCAAGGAGGAGACATAAGTCAGCGGGACAGAATGGTGCAGCAGATATATTCATGCATGCTGTATGGATTGGAGTTACTGTTCCACGGTCAGCAATAGCCACCAGCTGCCTACCACTCACTGGTGTCTGAGGGAACCCCTTCCCTATCTCCACACCCCTTTATTTGGAAGACAAGATGTCTGCAGAAAGTAGGTAGCAGTTGTTGGGAAGCTTGGCTTTATAATGGCTGCTCATGTACATATGTCAGACTCTTGTATTTATGTGAGTTGGATTTGTTTTTGCAACTCCGGTATAAAAGGCAGAACTTCCTCTGGAGGCAAAATAATAAGAGGGCTTTTTTGGTTTGCTTTGGGATTCTTTGGTAATAAATGAGAAGAGCCACTCGTATGATTAGAGGCTTGAAGAGCAAGCCATATGAGGAAAGGCTGACAGATACGGGACTGTTCAGCCTAGAAAAGAGAAGATTTCAGGGGGATTTGGTGGCAGCTTACAAATATATCAGGGAAGGGCATCAGGAGATAGGCGAACAACCATTTACCAAAGTGCCCCGGGGAAAACCAGGAGCAATGGTCATAAACTCCTAGAAGAAGGTTTCAGACTGGATGTAAGGATAAACTTCATAGTGAATAGACTCCCAGCAGGGGTGGTGTAGGCACTTACCCTGGAGGTCTTCAAAAGGGTACTGGACGCACACCTTGCTGGGGTTATTTGACCCCAGCAGTCTTTCCTGCCTAGAGCAGGGGGGCTGGACCTGATGATTGGAGGGTTCTGCCTAAGATTGTAAGCTAAGACCCGAAATTACTTAAAGACATTAAACCAAGGTGGAGATGGAACTGCCCAAGGCGGAGATGGAACTGGGACTAGCTACCTGGATCAAGGACAACAAGAAGTCCTTTTTTAAATACATAGGGGGCAAAAAGAAGGTACCGGGTAATGTGGGGCCTCTGCAAGACATGCTAGGAAATCTGGTTGTCACACCAGACGACAAAGCTAACCTATTTAACGATTGCTTTGCCTCCATTTTCCTGAGCAGGGACCAGATCAGCCTGTCCGCCGGGACCCCCTCAGGCCCCAGGGGAGGCGCACCCAGGCCTAGGGTCAGTGAGGATCTAGTCAGGGAACTTCTGGAGGGACTGGACATATTTAAATCAGCTGGTCCTGACGATCTCCACCCCAGAGTACTGAGGGAATTAGCAGAGGTCATTGCGGGACCCCTGGCACGGCTTTACGAGCACTCGTGGTGCTCTGGTGTGGTGCCAGAGGACTGGAAAAGGGCCAATGTGGTTCCCATTTTCAAAAAAGGGAGGAAGGAGGACCCAGGGAACTATAGGCCAGTTAGTCTTACCTTGATCCTGGGTAAGCTTTTTGAGAGGATTATCCTGGTGCATGTCCACGAGGGGCCAGCAGGGGAGGTTATGCTTAGGGGCAACCAACATGGGTTCATTAGAGGCAGGTCCTGTCAGACCAACCTGGTGGCCTTCTATGACCAGGTCAC